ATTGTTTGTAATGAGTATCATCTGTAGTCCAAGTAACACACAGATAGAATGTTATTACTAGATAAGAGGATTCCAAAACACAAGAAATGTGCAGTTAGAGACCAATTTACTAAGATTTTGTCATTGCTAAGGAGAGATAGCATAGGAAAATTCCCCAGGGAGTTTGCCATATAATTTCTTGTTGTAAAGATCAATTGGTACACTTTTACCATATTCTTGAACTTATTGCTGGCCAGTTGTTCTTTTTCTATTCTTGGGAATCATAGCATTTTAGAAGTGTCCAATCCATTTTGCACATTACACCCAGAATATTTTTTCTAAAATATATATCTAATCGTGCCATTTTTCTGTTTAAAACTTTTGAATTGCATATGGAATAAAGCCAAAATTCCTCATACTCAGGACTACATTTCATCAATTTTTATCACCATTATCACTGAGATCACCCCAGTCCATTCACTCCAATATCTTTATCTCTCATTCTATCCTCTAGTCACTCAGTTAGTACCCTACTTAGAATTAGATGGTCATACAGTTGTATACCTCTGTATGCAACTCTGTCATCCTTATGGTATGTTCTAAGCTTCCAGTGCTTTTTCCTCATCCGCCTGTGGGGCTGGTACTGTCTTAACCTTATGTTTATGGCCTCAGTGCATAAAGCTGAATCTGTCATATAGTTGTTTTTTTTAGACACGTGTTGAATGAATGACTTAACTTATCCTAAATTCTCAAGGAAATGGTCAAAATTTCCCAACTACCAGTTCATCCACTTGAGGTGATTTCACAACTCAGAAACATTAAAGCAAAGTTGCTAAGTCTCATTGATCAATATTACTCAATGTTTTCCAAAAGTAAGTCACTCTTGCCTTGACTTTTTGTTCTAAACATGGTATTTTTCACAAGCCCACATTTACTGACACCATTATTTATCTACATAATATTTCTGGATGATTTGTCCTTGTTTTGTGCTCCTTTCACATTTCTTAGTTCAATTCACAGGGACACTATAGCAGAATAATATTAGACAGGGCAGAAGGAAGTCTGACAGACATCATCCTGTAATTGAGCTTAAAAGGTGGTGACATTGGAAGCTGTCCTCATAACACCAGTGGCCAATAACTAGTACTGGATGGTACCATGAAAATCTCAGTATTTCTTCTAAAAATACCTTGCCACTATTTTTAGATTGTATGAGAAATAGCAAATGTACTGCTTTCATATTTATCTCAACTAGTACTAAAATGACACACATAGCAATACATGTCAAGAACTTTTAGCAACATTTTCTAGCATCATTTGTACTTCCTCAAAAGGTAACATCCCACTATATAATCTATTACAAGGGAATAGAATTTGGGAGAAGTTTTTGGCAAAAACAGTATCTTTCTGCTATGTTCTATCTTCAAGAATTAAAGAGTTAGTATAAAGTGATGGAAAGGAGGGAGAAAGGAGAGGGAACTTACAGGATTGAATGTTACATGTTCTTTATGTATTTTTCAAATATTAAATGCTACATATACTTTAAAGGAATAGTTATACATACTGCATACTCAGTACCAGATTTTGTGTCAGGTGCATTATGTATATTATCTTTAGTGCTTGTCATAACACTAAAGCAGAAGTTAATGTGCCAGAACTGGGATGTTAGCTTACATCTATGTTACCTAAGACAGTTTGTTCCAGCAGGAGTACTGCACTGAAAGCTTCCCAGTTCACACAGGGAGTATGAGGTGGAGCTAGGACTTAATCTGTCTTGACCGCAAAGCCTGTGCTATCTACTGTACTACACTGTCTCTCAGAATGAAAGGAAATATTCTTCTTAGTCATAATATGTACTTAACACAGAAAGCTTACTTGACTTCTAAAGCAATTCCTCAATTGCTTTTACTAACAAGGAAACCTATATGATTGATACCTACTTTAATAATTTATAGAAAGAGCCAAATGGGGGTGATTGTTGCATTTATAACACCAGTAGGAAAGCCTGTCATGATAGAATGGAAAAGTGAGAAAAAGCAGAGTAATGATGACAACAATGTTAATAAAAATAATCACATCTTATTTGCTCTGTGCCAGGTATTGCTCTAAGTTATTCAGATATATTTATTTAACACAACAACTCTATGAGGCAGGTACTATTATAATTTTCATGTAATAGAGTTAAGGAAACAAGGAGGTTAGGTCATGACCCTAAGGTCAGTCACACAGCTGTAATTGGTAGAGTCACACACCTGAAACCCAGGGGATTTGGTTCCACATTCCATGCTCTTTACAGCTAGAGCTACTGAGTGTCTCTTTGTAGAAAGAAACCACTAGGGATGTTTGGGTGTATCAGTTGGTTAAGTGTCTGCTTCGGGTCAGGTCGTGATCGCAGGGTCCTGGGATAGAGTACAGCATTGGGCTCCCCGCTCAGCCGGGAGCCTGCTTCTCCCTCTGCCTGCCACTCCCCTGCTCCCCTTGCTTGTGTGCTCGCTCTATCTCACTGGCATATAAATAAAATCTTAAAAAGCAAACAAAAAACTAACAAAAACTCAAAAAAACTGCAACCTTATTTTGTTCCCAAGGTTACCAACTGAGCAGTGTTTCCATCATATTACTGTCAATTGATATTCTGAAGCCATCTGCGTCAGCAAAGAATTTAGTTAAATTTGCTCTTTGCTTATGCTTTTAAATGCAAATGAATGGGGATTTCAGTAAAGTACAATGTATTAATGAGTTCAAATCAATGTTTGATTCTATCCCGTCTTTATCTACAATCTGTCTCAAGAATTAAAGTGAAATATAGAGTTAGCCTATCTATCCTTTTTCTGTAGACTTAAAAAGATTGTTTCTTTTAAATATGTTCCAAGCTTATGTCACATAATATTTTGCTCAGAAAACACACATTCAGTGTGTTTGTTATATGTATTAATCTGGATTCACTTCTTAGAACTTCCCAGGATCACTTCCAGTTCCTCCAAGCATCAAGTACAGTTAGGAAAAGCTCAGCGTGATGGAAAAAGAGATCTCTTTAGATCTATTTAGGAAAGACATCCCAAGTAAGTGTTCTTTGATTAAAAACAAAACACAGGTACACTTTAGGGCAAGGTCTATATTTAGATCCCTTCTGGGCTTTTTTAAGTCATATTTTTATTATACTATCTTTCTTCCCTAGCTGGAATTATATACAGTGACCAAGGAAATGGTGAGCCAGAATAATGGAACAAAGGATCAAGGCGATTCACATCAGTAGAAGGCATCCTATTTTCAAAGTAGGCAGAGTTCGCCTTTTCAATGAGTCAGTTCTAACATATGTTTTCTTTCTTTCTGATTCCAGAAATAATGATTTTACTTTAATGGACAAACAGAGTTACTGTTAATATGCCTATACAGTCTGACAACAGATTCTTTCACCAGTGTTTAATGGTACTTTTATGTATGAAATTGGAAAGGTATTAAGTTTGCTTGATTTCAAAATGCACAATCAGCATTTCCTATTTTTTTTTTTTTTAACAACTGACCAGAAAAAGTCTTTTAATCCTAATCAATAATCCTCTGTTTACTTTGGCCTCTGTTTAAGTTGGGAATGAGAGGAAAACATCTACAGGGTACAGACAGTGTCCCTAGTTTGTGAAACCAGCTTCTTTTTTGCTATTCAATGCCAAAAGAAAAAAATTTAATTTGATTTTCAAAAGGAAATCTCCCAGAAGCAAATATAAGAACTAAAGTACTATTTGCTCTTATAAAAAAATTATTTAAGTTTGGTAAGTTAGATGATGGTGATACTTTGAATTTGGGGGAAAGAAGGAAGGAGAAGTTTTAAATAAATCTAAGTATTTTTGTTATTATTTACTCAAAAGGATGAAGATTTTTCAACAACAGACAGATAGTGAAGTACCAAATATAGATCATCCACTAAAGATAAAAATCAGGTAGGTAATATTTTTCTTATTTCTCTTGAAAGTGCTTAATAAATGTGCAATCTTAAGGTACCTTTTTCTTTTTTCAAGGATTTATTTTTTTCTCATTTTTAAAAAATTTAAATTCAGCCAATTAACATACAATGTATTATTAGTTTCAAGGAGAGGTCAGTGATTCACCAGTCGTATATAATACCCGGTGCTGATTACAACACATGCTCTCCTTTCTTTTGTTCTTTGTATTTAGGCAAATTCATCTCTTGGATAACTCTAAGTGTATTTATTACCAGCAGTCACTTGTGCCTGCCTAAATGTATGAACAACAATAAATGCAGCAGAAGGGTTGGAGCCAATGAAATGCTGTTTGAAAAAAGTAGACTTTTCTACCTGAAAAATGTTTCCGTTTCTACAAAAATATAGTTTAGTTTTTTAGTTTCACAGATTGTTATATCCTAGGTAATCACATTATATTCATCTTCGCAACCACAGCAGCAAAGCTTAGACCATAGTTGAATTCCCTATTTCCACACTTAGCATTTAACACCTAGATTTACAAACTCTTTGCTTGTGAATATAATATATAGCTTAACTTCCTATCCCACACTATATGGCATGGAATTTCCCAGGAGTGGTATGTGCTCTCCCAAGGGAACTGTTTTTCCTTTCCTCAAACTGTCAAATGGTCAGTAAGCAGCTATGGATAGGAGAGAGCAAAGTTCCATGTGGATTACATCTTTGTGAAAATACAGATTCTCAAACACCTAACCAAGTAGCCCATATTGACTCTCTAGCAGCTGAAGATAAACAGGCCTGTCCTAAGATTGAAGGCAAATACGTTACTGCCCCCACCTCATTTACCCTTTTGGTGGTATTACTGACTTAAAAGTAAACACAGCCATCTAGTATGCCCCAGGTGTGTATACCTACAATGCTGGAACAGCAGTTGTGGCAGTATATGAGTGACAGAATCCAAAGAAGGAAGTCAGGGCTCAAGAAGAGATTTTAAAAGCTTGGATGATTATTTTTGCAAATTATTATAAGACTGTCTCATTATCTTATAATTACATTTCATTGAGTGATTCTATTTATTTATTTCTGTACCTGGTAAATCAGAGAAGAGAAGAATGCACTCATTAAAGCCATTAGCCAAAAGCCGGTCCCGTAGCTGCTGGAGAATTGCTACTCCAATACAGAATGGGAAAGAGGAATTCCCAAGGAGTAAGGTATCCCAGAGGTGGAAAATTTTGTGCAGTGGAAATACATCTGTAATACAACAAAATATAAATATATTAATTACAATAAAAAAACAAAATAACAGAAATTAAAACAATAACAAGCTGTTTTACTAGACATATGACAAATGCCTTACGGTCAAAACTGTTTAAGAACACATAAACTGTTTTTATAAAATGTTTATAAATGCTATTTTTGGTTTGGTTTCATAAAATGTTTATAAAATTATTTTTATACAATATTTATTGTTTCTTAAGGCATCTTTAAAAATTGATAATCAGATTGGTCAAATAGATGACATTTTCTAACCTCCACCATTGATCCTGGTATAGTTGTTCCATTCATTATATTTCTTCCTAGAATTTTCTTGTTATACTATTTTCACAAGTTTACTTACCTAGATGAAATTTAGTCTTCTTTTAGATTGAGTGTTATTACATTTTTATTATGCATTCTAAATAATTGCTTTATTAAATTCCCATAAAAAGTTTATCTCATTTTTTGCAACTTTATTTTTTTACATTTAATGATAGTGCAGGTATCTTTTCAGGTAAATGCATACAGATCTACTCTAACTATGGTATTCCATATATCACTTGTACACATTTAAGCAGAATGTCCTCCATATTAATACCTGCAAGTGATTAAACTATTACACATCCACATAATCTGCCTAATTTCTAGAGGAATTCTAGGTTTAGAAATAGCAAAAATATTAGTTACTAGAGGATCTCTAAAAACTGAGTCTCATTTGGTTTGTAAAAGTTGCCTTCCCCAAAACTCTATTATATAAATACTATAGTTATTGTTAATTTCTTTTTCAACAGAGGGCAGAGATTGTATGGATGTCATGACATGTAAGATAGGCATCCTATACATCACTATGCAACACTCATCCTTTGCAATACTCTTTTTGTTACTCACCCTCAAAACAATTCACATTTCTCCCTACCCAACTCTATTACATTAGAATTACATTAGGATGCTTATAGAAATATATCTTTTAATATAACTGTAGCTATAATATACCGGGAAAAAAATGGAACTGTCCTTTTACTAATACAATATTGAAAGAAAAGGGAAAATGATACTTACGAGTAAACATGGTGAGAAACCAAGGGATGGCATAGAGCTATGGGTGGAAGAGGACGGGGTGCCAGGGATGGATAAAAAAGAAATAAAATATAATTACAACGATTATCAATAAGCTGAATGGTAAAAAATATTTGATGCTTTGGCCTATCCCACTGATTAAAATAAGAGTGAATGTTGATCATTATAATTATTACCACAAATACTCTCTTAAATAGTATTATCTCTTACAAATGCTGCAGACAACACTTCTGCCAAGGATTATTCCACAGAATGTCTTCATTTCATCAAAGAAAATACTCAAGACAATGTCTAACCCAAACACAATACTAGCAAGCCAATTCCAAGGGTGTACTTTCAGATTGTACAAAAACATTTCTAGGATTTTAATGGTCCTTATCAGTGTGGAGTTACCCTTAGTATTTTTGAGAATTGATAAGATGGTATTTGAAGAATGTCCAAAATGTCTTATAAAAAGGTGCTATGAAGCATATGCTTTCTATAACCACTCTCTAAATTAATACGAAGCTTCATAACAAACTAAAAGTAATAAGATCTAGAAATGAAATAATCTGGGTCAATAATTTGGGTCTATAGCTGAGTGACAAATTTATTTTCCTGTTTACTACCTAGGATGAAAATAAATACACACACACACATACACACACTTTCCATTAATTTCTTGACATTTTGAAAGTGAGAAATCACTCCTAATTTCTAAAAATAGAGTAAAATCTCCTTTGTCAGTATAGTAAGTATCAAAAATCAGTAATAATTTATAGAGAAATATGAAAAAGCTCTAATTTTATTTTACTTTCTGTATGAATGCTGTCTACCATTAGACAAAGATTTCTGTGCTACCTATAGGGTTTAAATAAATATTCTTTCAGCACCTATCAATTATGAATTTATCAGTAGAGTTGCATATGTCTTTGCATAGCACATGACTGAATATTTATGCTATTAAAATGCTGGTCAAGAATCCTAGGTATAATTATACACTATATCAAAATCTAAGTACTGTATATGGAGTAAAGCTCATTGCTCTCCACAAGATGATTTATATACATTGACACAGACAGAGTTCTTTCAAGTGACATTATAAAAGGAAAAACTGAAGAGTACCAAGGTATGTGACTTCACTGTAAAGAGTATGGATTGTAGAAAACAAAATACAACAAAATTAAATATTAGTTGCATCATTATTGTTTATCTTTTCTTTCTTTAAAGGACATGACATAAATTAAATTCTAATACCTCTACCCCCCTGATCAAAACCAATTATCCATTAGGAATCTTAAGTGAATTACTTCAGCTACACGCTAATAATCTGTTTTCCCACATAGGGAAGAGGGTATCATTGTATGAGGAATCTACACAAAGTAGGGAAGGAATTACTTCAAAAGATCAGAGGGAAAGCTTGCCAGGCTCACACAAAGCCAGGAAAAATTCATCTTACCACCAGTCAGAATAAAGAAACAAATTACTAAACAAACAAAAAACCTGTAATAAACAAGTAATTCGGTAGAGTACTCAAAAGAGAATATTGTCTTAGTAATATTAGCAAAATTATGCTCCCAAATTATGCTGTTGTGGTCTTATTTAATAAACTGTAAAAACAAGCTTTGAAAGGATCATATTGCTTAAATGTTAGTTAGCTACATCCCAAAATAAAGCTCAAGAATATTTATAAGAACATATAAATATCCAATATTCAACAAGGTAAAATTCACAATGACTGGAACCTAATAAAAAATAAATACTGATAGTGAAAAGTAGCAGAAAAAAGTGATCCATAATGAGGAGAAAAATAATTCAATCAAAATGCACACAGAAATGATATAAATGTTCGTAATACCAGGTAATGATGTTAAGATACTTTTTATAATGGTATTTCATATGTTCAAAAAGTTAAGGATGTTTATGTTAAGTAGAGACATGGCAGATAAAAAAAATCAAACGTTCAGAGATTAAAAGTACAATGTTTGAGATAAAAATATACATACTGGATGGGATTAAGAGCAGATCAGACACTGCAGATGAAAAAATTAGTAAACTTGAAAACCTTGAAATAGGAAGTACCCAAAATGAAACCAAGTCAGGAAAAATAGGACCAAAAAAAAAAAAAATAGCCCTAAGCATCAGTGAGCAACTTTAATCTGCTAAATACATATGTAGTTAAGAGATATGAAAAGAGAGAGAGAAAAGATGAGGGAACAGAAAAAAATATTTCAAGAAACAATAGCTGAACATTTTTCAAATTTGATGAAAACTATTAACTAATAGATCCAATAATCTCAAGATCCCCCAAAAAAGAACCATGAAGAAAACCACATCAAGGCACATCATATTCAAATTTCTCAAAATCAGTGGTAAAGAGAAAAATCTTACACCATAGCTAGAGAAAACACACACAAACACACACGCACATTATGTAAGAGTATCAATGAGAAGGTTCTTCTCAAAAATATTTTCTTGTCAGTGCCCAGCAAATGACAGTGTAGTAACATTTTTAAAGTATAAACATTTTAAAGTATTAAAAAAATCTGTCTATGTAGAATTGTATGCTCAGCAAAAGTATCTTTCAAAGACAAAAGGTAAAATAAGGACTCTTCCTCACACACACAAACTGAAAAAGTTCATCACTGCCAGCAATGCCAAAGAAGTCTTCCAGGCAGAAGGGAAATGATACCAGAGGGAAATCTAGATCTACACAAAATGAACAGACACAGGAATTGTAAATGTGTATGTGGTTGAATATAAGACTTTATTACAAAAAATCTTTAAAATAGTTGACTCTTTAAAGCAAAAATGGTAATTTATTGTGGGGTTTATAACATATGTAGAAATAAAATTTAGGACAACTATAACATAAACACTGGGAGGGGAAAACGGAAGTACATACTACCTGTGAAGTGATATAATATTACTTGAAAGCAAACTGCGGAAAGTTAAAGAATTATAATATAAACCAGAATTTCTTAACTTCACCACTATTCACATTTTAGGTTAGATAACTTTTGGTTGGGAATGTCCTTTGCATTTTCAGATTATTACGGCAATCCAGCCTCCACCCACTAGACGCCAGTAGTATTAGCCCAGTTTCATCAAAAATGTCTTCAGACATTGCCAAAAATCCTCTGGGAGGCAAAACTGTCTGTTTGAGGACCACTGTATCGATCCTAAGGAAACCAATTAGAAAACACAACAGAGTCATAGCTAATAGAAGACAGAGTAAGGGAGAACTCACTCTCTGCCTGACAGATGAAATAGCAGTGAATAAAACATATCCCCAGCCTGTAAGGAGTGTACTGTTCATTAAGGGCAGTAGATGCTCATTACATATTCTCTCAATTCATTTCATTTAGGTTCTTACCTCCACCTCACTATCAAAACTGTTCTTTGTCATAAAAGATTTCCACATTGCTAAATCTATAGCCAATTCTCATTCTCAATTCCTTTTTACCAATCATCAGGGTCTGCCAGTTAACTCCTCTTCCCTTCTCAACCTGCCTCTCCCATTTGACTTCCAAGATACCACATTCATCTCCTTTTCTTCTTACCCTTTTGACTGTTGCTCCATCTCCTTTGCTGGTTCTTCTTCATCCTCATGACTTAAATATTGGCATGCCCTATTTTCAGTCCTTAGACGTCTCCTCTTCTCTGTTTTTCTCCAAATGATTGTATAGTGTGAGGACTCTCCCATTTTTATAGCTCCATCCCAGACCTCTACCCTGAATTCCAAACCCACATGTCTAAATGCCAGCTTGACATTTCCACTTGTGTGTCTAACAGATATACATATAACATGTCCCAAACTGAACTCGGGAGACTACTTCAAAAATCTGTGCCTTCAAGCATAGTCTTCCAAATCTCAGTGAAGAGCAACTCTGTTCTAATTGCTCTGGTAAAAAATTCTGGAATCATTCTTGACTTCTCTTTCTCCTACACTGTACATCTACCATCAGCAATCCTGCTGGCTCTACCTTCAAAATTTATCCAGAATGTAAAAACTGCTTACCACCCCTACCACGAATTTCCTGATTCAAGCTACTCTTGCCTAGATTATTACAATAGCGCATGACTAACCTTTTAAAATTCCATCTTTGTTCCTCCTTGGGTTTCTTTTATCATAACAGCCAGAATGATCTTGTTAAAATGTCTAAATCAGAACATGGCATTCCTCTGGTCAACAGTATCCAGTGGCTTTCCACCACTGTAAAAGGAAAAGTCTTAACTATGCAATCCGGTTTGATGTAAAACCTGGTCCTCTTTGACTCTCATCTTCTTGTTCATCGAGCTCCTGTCACATTGGTCTCCTGGCTGCTTCTCCGACATCCCTGACATACTTCATACCTCAGGGCTTTAGCACTTGCTGTTGCTTCTGCTTCGATTGCTCTTTCACTCATTTCCTTAAGGCATTTATGTAAAAGTCACTTTTCTCATGAGGCTTTCCCTGACTTCCTTCCTTTCTCCTTTCTTTCTCTCTTCCCTTCCTATCCCTTCCCTTCGTCCTTTTCTGTTCTCCTTCCTCCCTCCCTCCCTTCCTTCTTTCTGTCCTCACCTCCTTTTTCTCCTCCCTCTCTCTTCCTCGAGTTTTAAGTTCCAGTTTACAGTGTTATATTAGTTTCTGGTGTACAATACAGTGATTCAGCACGTCCATACATCACTGGGTGTTCATCACACACGTGTGCTCCTTAACCCCCAACCCTTATTTAACCCATCCCACCAACTCCCTTGTCTATGTTATTTAAAAATTCACTTTCTTCTTCATCTGAGCACTTCACATTCATGTCCCTATTTTAGTTTTTTTTTCTCTTTAGTGTACTTACCACTACCCAACATATCACATAGTATATTTATCTTTTTTATTGTCTATCCCCCACTAGAATATGAATTTAATGAGGGCAGAGATTTTGTCTGTTTTTTTTTTTTTCCATTGACATGCCTACAGCCTAGGAAAATGGCACTGAAATATTTGTTGAAAGAAAGAATAAAATATATAATGAGGATAACTGAAAGGGATAGATTAAAAGATCC